AATCATGATTTGAACCCACATCTGTCTGACTTCAACACTAATTCTAATAGCAGGAAGGAAAATACTGGAATACTAACAAGCCAGGAGAAAATGCTCTCCTAATATACCCATATATTTTGGTTCCATCTTGCTGCTCTGTACGTGTGTGTATGTGTATATATATATATATATATATGCCCCCCCCAGACAGACACACACACACACACACACACACACACACTCAAACAACTGTCAGCTTTTCTCTAAACACTGGATTCATTGCCAAGGTCAACTTTTCTCTAAAAGACAGGGTTCATTGCCAGGGCTCTATCAGCAACTATAACAGAAAAAGAATCATTTGTGACTCATAGCCTGAGTTAATATTGCAGCTGTATGTTGAGTCATTGACCAGTCATCGTGCTGCACTAGTAATATTCAAGTATTGATTTCAAGACTCTAAGGGGTAATAGCAGATGGAGAACAATTCCTTCAGCACATATCTTCCTCCTGCGTATAACATTAGTTGTAGTGAGAGAGAGTTCATGAGTTCAGGTACTAAGAAACACAGAAAAGTACCTGGCCTTAAGGCAGAATCTATACCTTGCAGATTTTCCATGTGTTTATTCATGCAAATACATTTCCTCTTGGATGCAAGATATTTGAGAGAGGATAAACACTATTTGCAGTCCATTTATTTCTCAGGAATTCTTGCCCATTCCACTGAGTGACTGAGAAACACATTCATTTTGAGGAGGCATCAATTTCGACAGATAAACACAGTATGTCCTTTGAGACTAGAGTTTATTTATCAAGAATTTCGGCAGGGTGTGGTGGTTTACATCTGTAATCTCAAGACTTTGGGAGCCAGAGTAGAAGAATCACTTGAGGCCAGGAGTTTGAGATCAGCCTGGTCAACAGAGAGACCTCCCATCTCTACACAAAATTACAAAAAAATAGTTAGCTGGGCATGGTGGCATGTGCCTATAGTTACAGCTACTCCTCAGGCTGAGGTGAGAAGATTTCTTGAGCCTAAGAGAATGAGACTACAATGAGCCATGATCATGCCACTGCACTCCAGCCTGGCTGACAGTGAGACCCTGTCTCAAAAAAAAAAAAAAAAAAAAGAAAAAGAGAAAAGAAAGAAAGAAAAAATTGGGGAGTTGTCCTTTTTGCATTATTAGAAACATCTGATTAAGAAGCAAAGAAGAAATTACTTGTCAAATTAGGTCAACATTTTTCCTATTCTACTCCCAGGTCCTTATCTCTACTTCGTGTGTCAAAATTACCCCAGAGCTTTAAAAATATATGTACCCAGGCGCTATGCCCAAGGATTCCAATTACTATATCCAAGTCATGGGAAGCTGTAGCTTGTTTGGTGAGGGGAAACTTCAGTATTTTGCAGGCAGGTCTGAGAACTACTCTAACAATCTTACCCACGAGTTCAAGGAGGTGAAATGTGGCTGTCACCCTTTACTTGAATACCCCTATAAGAGTGTTCTCTCTAAACCTTAAGCCTAGTCAGCCAGACTATAGCCACTTGCCTTCTTTCTAAGCTGCTCCTTGAGTTTCCTTTTCCCTGTATTTCCTTCCTGCCTCAGAGATCTTTTTCATTTGAAAAGAACCCACTCCAAAATCCCAGCCTAATGCTTGCTTTAGAGTTCTCCTTAGACTTGCACTAGCAAACTGTGTCAGGACTGAGGGTAGCAACGGAAGAAAAGATACATAAATAGATGCTGTTTGACCTCCCTTGTCCACCATCTTTCACCTCCAGATTCAGCTCTATTATTTGTAACTGGAACAGTGTTAGGAGGCTCACCATGTCTAGGATTTCCTGTAGATGTGAATAAATGTGAATGTGATCTTACCCATACTGAACAACTGGCACATGCATACTGGCTCCCTCCGTAGCTTCTTCCTAGGGTGTGGCATGGGGAAATCCCAGGCACAAAATAAAGAAGAGAAAATCTAGAGGTATCTGCTCTTCTTCCAGGAATAGGAGCCACAGGTGTAGGATTTGCCCTATGATCATTGTGGTGTGTTTCAGTTTGGACTCTCTCAAAAGGCAGAGCTGGAGGCAAAGCTTTTAGGGCAAATAGTTTCTTAGGGAGGTGAAGGAAGTTAAGGGAGTGGGTAAAAGAAAGAGGGAAGGGAAGGCTGCTCAAACAGAATGCATCATGTAGCCAGTTACCAAGTTGGACAATTGGGGCTGACCAAATGAAACTGTTAGACTTTCTGGCTTGCACTCCATTTCATTGTGTTAAACAAAAACTTCTATTGGTCACATAAAATGATACAATTAAATAAATTCCAATTCTATTTTTTCATATTTATAATCACTGTGCTGTCATTGTCAATTTATAATCTAATGTTTACACTTTTTAAAACAGATTAATACCACAGGACTTGAATGCATGAACTGTGCCCTTGGTGAGCTCAAAGTATTTGGAACTTTTATCAACTTACTAATGATACAAAAACTTATTACTGAATTTGTGTGTGTCCAGAGCTCATGTGGTGTCTATTATAAGTATTGAAAAGCTGCTAATTTAATATACGCTAAATCTTAATGGTAACCACATCAATTGTTTAAAATATAGACTAACAAAATATTTTTTAGGGAGTAGTCCTTTATCACTGATGTTATTCAGGGTTACCAGATCACAGTGCTGGTAGAAAGTAGATTGCCTAGGCCATTTAGTCCATTTAATTGTTGTTTTCTAAATTGTCTTCAAATATACCCCCTCCCATTGTCTGCATTTGGAGAAGACTGAAATCAATGCCCCACTTTTACAACTCCACTGTCTCCTACACTTATCCCTGCCCCTCTCTGCTTTCTTTCAGAGCCAGGTACTAGAAAGCTAGTGTTAGGATTGGATTGTATTTTCAGGGAACCAGGTGTGAAGACCAATTCTGATGTGAAGCAGCCAGGCTGCCGGGTGGGGAGATGTTTCCCCTGCATCCAAATAATAGTTATAAGTGTTTTTCTTGTTTTTCCCCTTTAGAAACACATTATATACATAAAATAGGATCTGTAGCATTAAGCATAAAACTGTGCATCTACGAGGGAACAGTCAATGATCTTCCAAAACATGTTTTTCAATCTTAGAAAATCCATTCTTAATTCTAAACAAATACCACAGGCAAATTTTGGGAATGCAACTTCCATGAAACACTATCAGTGGTATGGGATAACAGAACAGAGTAGAAGTGATAAGACTTAAGTTTTACCCCCAGATATGCAGGGAACGGCTCTATCTGGACTTGGGCAAGCCAGTTGTCCTCTCTGGGCTTTTATGCTATATCTGTCTCTCTATCTCTCTTTCTCTTTCTCTGTTACTAATGGGGTTAAGAAGTCATATTGGCATAGTTCAGGATCAATTATTATGTCATAATTATTAGCATGGCCTCAGCTGCTGCTGGCATTATTTGAGGGTCAATTGTGTGATTTCATTTGCTTTCCCTTTGGATTTTTCATTAGTATGTAACCATTTGAAGTTCCAGTTAATTGATATGTATAAAAATAAAAAACAACAGGGGAGTATACAAAGATACTCATTCACAATTCTTATGTATTCCATAAGATTGGAATACAGGAAGTACCTCTTTTGACCTACCTTTTGACTGGTGTTTACAGCACAGTCCAAGAATTATTTTAAACATCTTAAGAGGACATAGTCTTAAAGATGTTTGGAAGCCCTTCCCTCAACTTGTATGCTATAGATACAAATACTATAAAAAATGTATTTTGTCTTTTTCTTTTAAAAAATTTCGCCCAAATATCCTAGTAGGTAATGCTTTATTTGTCTAATTTTTATTGTTTTCTCTGTATAATTTGAGGGGAAAAATACCTTTGAGATCCTTTATAGTTAAAGCTCATTACTAATTTGGGCAGATTTTTCTGGTAATGACTTGAAGCAGTAACATTGAATAATTTTTGTGAAACACATTCTAGTTTTTGTTTTATATCTCTAGACAGAGCTTATTCTATCCCTTCACCAAGTTTCACTATGCAGAAAAGATAGTTATCAAATGACAGACTTTACTACATTTTAAAATG